ATCATATCGCTGTGGTCATCAACTCATTTCTGTAGCTTGATGGCTTTGACCTCGGCTTCATCTGTCGTGACCCCCAATGTGTGTGTGGAAAACCAAACTATCCCTTCCCATGAGCCCTCTGCATAGACAGAAAGATTGTTCCTCAGGAAACGCAGGTCAGGAAGTCAGAGGCGGAAGCCAGCCTTTCGTTCTAAATACAACCATCCTCTAGAGATTGCCGTGTCAACAGAGAATTGGGCAGTATATCTTCTTTAAACGCTGACCCCTCACTCTCTTGTTTTGTTGCTATTTTTTGCAACTTTGCATTTACCGAAACATCATCCTTCTTCTTCTTCTTCTTCTTCTTCTCCTATTTCGCTGCAAATTGGCAGCAAAGGAGCCACAGACTTACATTTCCAACATGGTGTTTGTTTTGAACTCCGGTCATGAATGTAATGCTGTGACGTGTCAAAGCCATCCAAATGAGCCAGGGCTAGCACTGATGCCGCATCCCACCCAGTGTGAGATGAAGGGCAGTGGAAGTGAGTGGATGGGCATGTTGGAGCGATTCATGGGAACAAGATCAGCAAGAGCAGTTGGCGGTTAACCACTAACAATGCTGTGGCTACTCTTATGGACAATTAATCGCTGCTTGTTCTTATTTTGCTCCTTCCCTCAATCCTTCTCTCTCCCTAAACTCTCTTCCTCTGAGGCTAGGTTCGCCCTGCATGATGACCACAGTCCTCCCATATGAATTTGGCAAACATACCATGAAACATGAAAGGAAGCAATCATGGTGTCCTGGCTGTCAAGGCTTATACAGACAAGGACAGGATCACACAAATTGGGAAGTGGGCAGTGGATACAGAAACAAAACCCGTGCAGGATCACAGTAAATATGAGATCACACATGACAGCATATTCAAGGAATCAAAGTCTGTTTTGTATTTTTTTTTGCTCAAACTTGACTATCCTTGACCACTGATTACTCAACAGTCAGCAGAGTGATTAGCTGTCCTGATGAAAAACAAAAAGGAAGTTGTTGAGTAAGCAGTGACTTTTAATAGAAGCAGAAACACAACTGACTCTACTCCTGCAATATGTCACATTTGCAGTAGTGAAAAGCATATGTACTGCGTTAATCATTGTTTTGTTTTTTTCATCTTAAACTCCTTTGTCATCCACTTTTATTTTTCAGAGGACAAATGTACTCCAATACAGCTGTTTCCACATATTTAAAGTAAAGAAGTAGTTCAGTATACTTTAACTGAGGTTAAAATAACCTGTTGTTAAATTACAGCTAAATGCAGCACTTAAAAGTGTCTCCTCCTCAACATTAAGTACTCAAATAAAGGTCACCTTCCATCTGTTATTTAAAAAGAAAGAAAAAAAATATATGCAAATATAACCATCTTCTGAACATCGATTTGATACACTGTAACTACCTTTACTTAAGCATTAATAACATAACAAATAAAGTTGAAAAAAACACAATATTGTACTTTGCAGTTGGATTTAGCATTGAGGAAATGCTTGTGACTATCATAAAAATATGGATTTTAAGGAAATCTGTATGTTTTTCTTCTATTTAGAAGGAAACATACAACACTACAACACAAATGGCAACTACAAACATAGCTTTTTTTCACCCTGACTATGTCCCCTCTTCTCAAATCTAACCTACACGGGCACTACTAAGATCTTAAAGGTTGTTTTCCCATGACTGGCAGAAATAACTAAGATGTGCCAGCGACAAACTGAAAATACATTTCTTGTGAAGCAGAGATGTTCCGCTCACAGCTGCATATACAGTAATAACCTTAATATTAAGGAATTGAAAATGCAAGTGTGTGGGGGGGATGACTGTTTAGTGAGGCAGAAATCTCACTAAGTGGAAACCACTAAGTGACTGGTATTCATCAACAACCCTATCAAGCCCCAGAATACACATTATGCACCATGCAGCAGTAAAAAGTAAAAATACTACTTATTTCTTCTTTAATACATTGTTTAATGAGCTTGTGGTCACCTTAACTGGGATGTGGTGCAGCACGGTTTGAGATTACCACAATACTAGTTTGAGTAATTGTGAGTTTTGTAGCTGATAAGTCCCTTTGCTTCACACAAGGCCAATGTTAGTGTATCTGTGGAAAGGCTGATTACACAATTCACAAGTTTGTACTGAGCACTAAATTACCTCAAAGCCGCACAAAGGAGCTGTCTTTGACTGAGCTGACCTGCTGGTCTAATCTTAGAAATTCCCACTCAATCTAGAACTCTTCTGTTGAGGTAAAGTTATGTTTTAGGCAAACGTGCAAAGACTTAAAATACTGTACAAAAATAGAGTTAAATAAGAAATGCTGAGACCAGAGGAGAGAGAAGCGGAAGAACTTTGCCCTCTGTTGGCTGCAGGGGGGAACTGCAGCAAATTGTTGCCACAACAGTCACCTCCCATTTATTTGTTGTTCTCCTCCATGACTTCTTTCATCTCCAGTAGTGATAGGTGAAAAATTTAACATCCTGTCATCCCACTTAAACATTATCAGTGACCTCAAGCTCAATCCCCATCCTCCCTTCTGAGCTTGGGGTCATCAGAGTCAACGGCGCAGGAGGCAGAAATCAAACGACGCAGCACATGCTGAGGAGTGACTGACTCCAGCGCCAGCAGAGCCTGGAGGAAAAAAAAGGAGGACAGCCTTGACCTTGGAGAGCACAAAACCTCCGAAATCAAGTCTTCTAAGAGAGAGCTCAACTCAGTCAACAGTAAGAGGAAAATACTGCCAGAGAAGTTAATATATGGATCGTGCCTTTTGTGTTTGTTGCTTTGGAAGTCAGTGAAAACGTCATGATGCTTCTACGCACCTTAGTTGCAAGATTTCTGTCATTTGTGACAACAGAAAATATTTGGATTTCAAACTCTTTATGAGATGTTTTTTTCTTTTTAAAGGAAAGAGAGTCCAGAGTAAAATAATGCAGTTTTTTTTTACAATGCATTGTGTTAAAGTCTTGTCAGTAGTAATTACAGTGGTTTACTGTCTCCATTTTTAAAGCATCTGACATTATCCCCTGAGAGCACAGCAGGCTGACTTTTTTCTATATATTTTCATTTTGGCAGGAAACAGGTGCCTCCTCCTAAACCTGGAAGGACAACTGAGTCACACAATAATATCAGCAGGCACGATATATCTGAGAGTATTAAAAATAAACAAATGCACTGCATGAGGCTTCTTAAGGCCAAGGTCCAGTATGAAGGCATTTCCATCAGTCAGTGGGTAGTTTGTTTTTGAGTTTAGAGCCCTGCTGACCTTGTGCGCTTTAAATCCTTGCAAGTATCTACAGTGAAATTTCCAGCTCCTGCATCACAGTTACATGAGCGTATTCTTCACTTGTGTTACATATTACGAATTCCCACACCAGCTACGGGATTTTTGCATTTGCAAAATGAAAAGAAAAGGGGGAGAAAAATGATTCTCTTTCTACTTCCCTGCTCTGTTTCTCCCTTAGAGGGAGACAATCGATCTGGCCCACTTAATCAATCAGTGACAGGCCCTTTGAACTGCAGACGAGATTTCTAGCAAGTCTGTCATCCCACCCTGTCATCTGTGAAAACACTCCAGGGGGAGATTGCTCTGCACAGGCCTGGCTCGTAAAACTCTTTTTTTTAATGTTCCAACACACACCCTTGCTGTTCACTGACAAGGTCCAGAGTAACCGGGTGTTTGCATCTACTTTTCTTAATGCATAGCGAGGAGGATGTTTGAGTTCCAAAAAGGTCAGCTCACGAGGTCTTAGTCAGATACTTGCTTGAGAAGCTGTGGTGTAATCTGGCCTGTTCTATTTCAGCTCGTTTCAACATTTCAGCGCAAAAACAACTTCTCTGCCTCCTTCAGGGCTGCTAGCAGTTAGAGACAAAGCTCTCCACCTCCCCACTCCCCCCCTGCATGGCTCCTGTATAGGCAAAGAAGAAGAGGAAGGGGAAAGGGAATGTTTGCCTCTCTATCCCACCCCTCTTCCCTCACTTCCCTGGGGGCAATGCTGTGTAGTAATAAACGTCCTCCATAAATCTCCCCCTCACGCCATCATCCCCTCCTCCATACTCCAACTTTTTTTTTCTGTACGTTAACAGCTTCTTTTCTTCTCCCCCTCCTCCTCCTCCTCAACCCTGCTTTTCTTTTCCCTCCTCTCCGTTTCTACTGCAACCCAACCCTGACATTAGGGTCTGCACATGGCCGATGTCATAGACTTTATGAAGGGGGGTGGGCAAGATGAGCCACAATACATGTGTGTGGGTTTCACTCTCTGTAGTCTGTCACGCCAGTGCGGTCGAATCTAGTGAGGTCACTCATGTATCAGATTGTCGCCTACAGTACCTGATGAAATGACATGCACGTATTCCATTCAGAAGAGGAGTTTTATACCTGCTGGTAATGAATAACAAATGAGCTGTGGCTGAGAAGAAGTATGCTGTAACAGTGAAATAGCTGTGGTCGGGAAAGAGTTAAAAGTGCGAGTGCCTGAATTCACCGGAAAGTCCCACAAGTGACGTTACAGTCCAGCAATTAAGAGTAAATTAATTACAGAGTAGTGGATGGTAGCTGAAACCCCGAGGATAATACAGTAAACAACTCCAGAAGTACAAGATTTCCATTGCCCTACTCCTCTTCACTTGCCTTTGAAGGCTTCTGATCGGACTTTAGTTTTATATAAATATATTTAAGCTGCTTAATTATGAACTGAAGACACTTTTCCCTCCAACAAAATTAACTTTTAACAAATCTAACCCAAAGTTCAGATTCTCCGATCAAGAGAAAAAGAAACTTGTTTTTAGTGCTTTATCCCTCCTAACTGGTAGCCTAAGACGGTTTGGCATTCAAAGCTCACCCAGCACTGGAGTAATCTCACATAAACTGACAAACCAATGCAAGTTTTTTTCTCTACAGTTACTAAAGTTACTGAAAGTTCACGCCCGTTTTTTGAAGCTCCTCCCTGCAGTCGATTGATTAAAAAGCAAATGTCGGGGTTGGTGCAGGGCAGAGGGGGAGAGTTCAGTAGCTCTGAGCAACTTTCTAACAAGTAGACTGGCTTTCTTTTTTTTTTTTAAACTACTTTTGTGATTTGATTCCGGTCGCTGCAAAGATGACCACAGCCGTGGTATCGCCTTTCTTCGACTTCGAAGTAATGAACAAGGTAGCTTCCTAACTTTTTCCACCCCCTTCTCTCTATGTGTGTCTTGTGGGCTGACGTTAGCCTGTTAGCAGCGGGGAGTTAGCTGCTGTGGAGGAATGACGAGCTCCGTGCCCGCGGCCCTCTGCGCGGAGGCTGTTTTTGTTTTGCTGTTTATTGCTTTGTATTCCGCTTTGAGTCAGCTGCGTGTTTATTTGTTTGCTTCGTCTGTTATTTCCTCTCTTCGGCCTCGTCTCTTGAGGGTTTACGCTATAAGCGCCTTCAAAGTGGACCGAAGCGCTGCGGGAGCGTTAATTTAAAAATTGTTTAAAAACATGGTGTTTTTATTTACTTGTGTATTTATTTAATGTTCAACATAAGCCACATCCGCTAACTTTAATGTTATCTATGGTTTATGCTTTGAGGTCGGTGTGCAGTTTAGGCAGCCAGCGGCTGTTAAAGTGAAAGCTTTATGTCCTCTTTATTTTAATGAGATCACTTTTGCGCCACTTTTAATACCGCTTTCAGAGCAGCCACATGCTCGCTAATCATTGACCAGATTTGGCTGGCTTTAGCCCACTTTCTGCCCCTATAAAACTACTTAAACTACCGGCATCGTCTCACCTTAACACTTGATGCGTAATTCGTTTCCATACCCCGTTTTGAGTGTCAGATTGCCTCTCAAAGCGTTTTTGTTTTTCTTTTAGCCTCCCTCTGGAGTTTGTTGGATTTTATTTACACTGTCATGTTTATGTAAATCATGACTAACTGTTCATTTCCACTAGTATGGAAATGTGTGAAAGCAGTTCAGGTTTCCCTTGTAATCCACAGAATGTTTGGCCACTTTCTTTCTCTTTCAAATGATGCAGGCTCTTTGTAGCCCACACTGGTCGTCCACAGGCCTCTCATGTGCTGCTGTCCTATTGACTACACAGGCACACACATTCCTAACCTGGGCAACTTGCCAAACCAGCTGCTGTTCTATAGGCCTGTATCCGCTAATGTGGTCTGAGCCAAAAAACAACAGTCATGCAGGCGGAGGTGTAGCCCCACCAGTCCCACAGTGCCCGTCATTTTTATTTATTTATTCGGGGAGAGTATCTGTACAAATGGTTTATAGGCTCGCCTAACAAGTGTTCAGTCACTTTCAGGAGTTGCATCAGGATGGCAATCGGACTTAAAAAGTAGCTTTTTATTTGTGCTCTACTTTTTCTAATGCTTGCATTTTCTGTCCTTTATTTTTCTTGCAGAACAAACTTCTCAGCTACAACAACAACCTGGGTGTCTCCCATCCAATGTCTGTTCCTTGCACTAGCACCAACGTGCCCATCTCCAGCTCCGCCGGACCCCTGCTGGACAGGAAGGCGGTGGGATCTCCCTCAGTGGGAGGCGTGTACCAGCGGCGGCACTCTGTCAGCAGCACAAAGTTCAACCAGAACCAATTTCTGAATAGCCTGAAGGCAGCGGACCAGTCCTCCTCACTCATCTCAGGGGTTGGCAATGCCAGCAACAACAAGGAGAACCGCCTGCGAGACCGCTCCTACTCCGAGACGGGCGAGAGGCTCATCAACAAGTGCCTAGGCCCTGCCAGTCCCACTGGCAGCAGCAGCCAAGTGAACTCCAGCCGTTACAAGACAGAGCTCTGCAGGCCCTTTGAGGAGAACGGTTCCTGCAAATATGGCGACAAATGCCAGTTTGCTCACGGAATCCATGAACTGCGCAGCCTGAGCCGCCATCCTAAGTACAAAACTGAGCTGTGCCGCACCTTCCACACCATCGGTTTCTGCCCATACGGGCCTCGCTGCCATTTCATCCACAATGCCGAGGAGCGTCGTGGACCTCCCCAGCAGTCCTCTCCTCTTAACTCTATGAACAAGATGGAGCGACCTCGGCTGCAGCACAGCTACAGCTTTGCTGGTTTCTCCAACTCAGTAGGGCTGAGAGACAGCCCCACCTCAGTCACCCCTCCACCCATGTTCTTCCCTGATGAGATCCCAGACTGGCCCAGCAGAAATCCCTTCACCTACTCCAGCCAGGAGCTGGCCAGCCTGTTCGGGCCCAGTCTCAATGCCGGTCCTGTAGGCACAGAGCCCAACACCCCTGCACCTCCCTCTCCAACAAGCACATCTTACTATTTCAGACCCATGTTGGAGTCCCCTCAGATGTTGGAGTCTTCATCCCCCCCAGACTCTATGTCGGATCAAGAGGGCTACCAGAGCAGCTCTGGTGGCAGCCTGTGTGGCTCAGAGTCCCCCACGCTGGATAACACCCGCCGCCTTCCCATCTTCAGCCGCCTCTCCATCACTGATGACTAGACTGCACGCATCCACTAGTGACTTTTAAATTTGACGACACAAAGAACATGGCACTCCCCTCTACCTCTGCCCTTCAGACTCCCCTCTGCCCTCAAAGCTCCCTTACACATCACGTTAGTTCCTTGTTAGCATTATGAGGATATAATCAACTAAGGGAACCCTCAGCTAAATCTATCATTTCTTCCCACTTAATCTGCACAGCAAGTTTTAAAAGAAAGTACCCCGCCATGTGTCATAGTGCCAAAAAAGGAGAGGAAACTGAACAATGAAATGATGAGAACAACAATTGACTGTTTATGCCAGGTGCCACTTGTTTTTCTTTTTGTTTTTCTTCTTCTTCATGTATTATTGAATGTGTTGCAGCACAAGTGGCCTTGGAAAGGGGTGTGCTTTGCACTAGCCCTCATCCCCCTCCCCTCTCTCCCCTGCCATCCTCCCTGATGATACCACTTCCCCTGAGCTTGCTAGAGGGTGCTCAGTAATGTAACTGTAGCTCTACACCGCAGACGTTTTTACAGACTGAGTTAAGACAAACGGAGAGAAATGACAGACCCTGAAAATATATGAATAGTTTTTTTTTTGTTTTTGTTTTTTTTAAAGAAATGGAGAAAAAAAGTGCCTGGGCAGTTTCTGCATGTGTTTAGGGTGAATGGACTACTGTTTGTTTTGGTTCTTTCTCATTTGCCCCCACCCACCTCCTTCTACCCCTCAGTCAAGCCCCGTCTTATGTAATTTTGAACCGGGTGAGTCTGCAGGAAGGACTTTGAACTGGAAGTTGGTTATGGCCCCCCCTCTCCTCCTGTTGCTGGTCACTGGCTGTTTCCTTTTTTTTTCTTTGGGAAGGAAGTTGATATCAAACTGATCATTAAACCTGCAAGACTTTGTCCTGCCCCCAGCACCTACACCTTCATCTTCACCGATCCGGGGAATTCCAGCATTCCCATAATATAGTTATACGTCACATGACTTGACAAGATCGGATCTCCAAGCTATTTTACTTTACTTGTCCCCCTCCCATCTCCTTCACTTTAGAACCTGCTCCATGGAGCTCTCTACTCTCATTACATCCCTTTTTGCTTTCTTTATTTGATAATTATTTTTTATTAATGTTATTATTACGGTTATTATTATTTGAGAAACTTTCCAGACAGAAGGTTTGCGTGTCACTGCTTATTTAACTTATCAGAACATATTTATTGGTGATCATATGCATTTTTTGTTAATTTTGTTTTTTGTATTTATCTGGATAATGAACAATAGAATATATTTTCTTTTATGTTAAATTATGATCTTCCATATTAATCTAAAGATTGTGAAGACGTTTTTGTCAGTTTTCCTTTTTTTCACAGTTTAATATATTGTACTTCAATGACTTTTGTTCTGCAACTACACTTTGTCAAAATGAAACTTAATTTAAAGCAAGAAAAAAAAAATGCAAAAAAAGCTGTTTTGCGTTTTGATTATTTATTGTACTTTGTTTTTCTTACTCCCTCTTATTGGACTGCATTTCCATCTAAACTAGATTTGCTTGTATCCATTCCTCCCCTTGCACATGTTACAGTAATCTGACAGTAACAGTAGCTAACTGTTATGACATTAATTCGATTTTTTTTTTTTTTTTTTTTTTTTTTTTTTTTTTTTTTTCCTCTCTCCCTGATCTCTTGTCCCCTTTTTGAAGAGGATTATTCCTACTCGGGTTGATGGTAGACTTAAAGGGGTGCTAAAAAGAAAATTATTAACATGACTCGTTTAGCAGAGTCTAGCAGTTCAGAGGCTGGCTGTGTTGAAATGTGTTCTGTCACCCAGTCTGTTATTACAAGCAATAGTTGTGACCAAATGAGTTGAAAGTATATCTTCTTTTAATTCAATTGGATGCTTGATCAGTGGAAGTGCCTCGTTTAATACATTCCAGGTAGCTAAGGGCTCTCCGCCTTTTTATATTTGATAATGGAGGACAATTTTTTTTTTTTTTTTTTTTTTCTCTCTCCTTAAGTCACTTGTTCTGTGTTGCCTTTGTGTGTTCGGAAGAGGTGAACAAATTCTGACACAAAGAAAGTAAAACTGTTGAATGTATTTTATTTTTTTTCCCAGCCATGTTTTTTTCACTACAGTAATTTCTGTGAGTTTATATGAAAACCTGTTCTCTCTTTCTCTCTCTCTCTCTCTCTCCCTCTCTCTCTCTCGTTCTCTCTCTCTGTTTTTGTAAGTATTGATTGCAGTTAAGTCAATAAACCTGTATTTTTTTGAAAAGTTCAACTTTGTGATGAGTGGTGTGTAAAAAGTTCTGGGAAATTGAGCAAATATGGGGCACGTTTATGCTCAGTTTTGGGTACCCATTCAAACTCTAGAGGGCTTCCCATGAATGTGAGTTTAAAAAATAAAATAAAATCAGTCTTATTCTAAAACCTTACAATTCCAAAGCTTAATCAGTATTCAAGTTTCTACAGTATCAAAAAGTCCAATAATGGCTATGAGGAAGCTCTAATGACTAATACTGCATACTTTAAATGTTGCAATTTGTCCAAAATGTGAAGAAAAAAGAAACTAGTTATATTTTGTAACACCATACCCAAGGAAACTTGGGTTTTAACAAAAGAGGCACACAGTATTATATTTGAGGCTGTAATCAGGTGAGTGCTTTTTCGATGCATAATACAGAACTAAAGGGAGTTTCGGTGTGGTGCAAGTTGATTGGTGAGCTGTGCTTGCAGCAGCCAAGGGTATTGACCTGGGGATAGTCAAAGTCTGAGCAGGCTTGATTACACAAAGACCTGGCATACTTAGTTTCAGCAGAAATATTGATCAGGGGGAGCTACTATAAAGTTTCCAAGAATAAAAAAAAAAAAAAACAGATTTGATGAGGTTGTGACCTAATCAATATGTACACAAGGATATTTCAGGTAAAAAGGAGGATAAACGGTGCAGTCATAGTTAACACTATGCCTTGGGGTTAATTTGATATATTCTGTTTTTACATCGAGAATAAATACAGATAACAATCACAAGTTGGCCATTAATGCGAGCAGAGTGGTATTCAATTTCAGTAGCAACTTCCACTTCATGCACTCGACTCAACATACGCACCGCTTCTGCATTTCCTCGGCCTCTGGACACTTCCCGTCTGTCCATGTTTATATTCTCTCAGATTGCAAAAAAACCGGAGCAGCAACAGGAACTCCCTCCATACAATGGTGGGTGCTGACCCATCACAGCTGACCCATAGAGGCCTCCTTGTTGCTTTATCCCTGAGAACCTGGGCCTTGTGGCGTCTAGTCTTGATCCTTAGGTCCCTCCATTCTTCATCACCCACCAACCTACTCCCCCATCCCATTTTAGACCAGCTGGAAATGGTCTAAAAACATACTGGTGGCCACGATAAAGCAAAGAAAGTCCTTGATTACATTCAAAACCAGAGAGCATTCATGGTTCCTATAAAATAAAGCAATGATCAACACCAACCACGATGCAACAACTTGTTTAGAAGTACAAAGGTGCTCTTAAGGAGTCAGCTTAAAAAGATGAGATGATATAACATGTGTATTTAAATGCTACTGATGGAGAGTAATTGCTTGTTGAAAGGCCTCTTTTTTGTGGCTTTATGGAATGTTTTACCTGTGCAAAGATGGGTGTTGTGTTTGGGAACAATACAGTGAAAATTGCTTGGATTGCATACCCCTTTTAGAAACTTTGAAAAAGCCTGTTTGCATTCATTTCATTTGAATTCTACAAGAATTTGTTCATAAGAAACAAGGGTCTTGAAACTTAATTAACATCACTTGAAAGATATCATACTCTATATTTCTTTGTAAGAGAGTTTTTGGCAAACAAAACCAATATTGCATAGTGTTCTTGTATCTGCAGATGCCACACAGCGTATGAAACATCGCATACTGTCTTATTTGGTGCAAGCCTGAAGCAAGATGAAAGCGATGGAAACTTGTTACCACTTCAAAACTGTTCTGCGTATTTGGTTTTAATAAGATAAGAAGCAAAGAAACAACGGATTCAAAGGAAAGGCTTCTCAAGCTAAATCAGGTGAGCATTAGTGATGCACACCTTTTTCTTTGCTGCACCCTTTCAGAAGAACATGAAGTGCATGCAGTTTGAGGCTGATGAAAGAGGGCTGTTTCCTGTTTGTGTGGTGTACGCATAGAGGCACCTTGAGATGAAGTACCAGGAAGTGGGTTTCTGAACCTCCGAAGGTGGCGGATGGAGGGGGTCGCCTGCTCTTTGATATGTTTTTGAAAAAAAGAAAAAGAAAGCTTCCATTACTTCATCAAACTTAACAGCAGGTAATTTTCCAATATGGAGACGATGCAGTGACACAGACCAAGCTCGTTCACTCATTGCTTCCTGCAAAACAGGATAAAGCAAGTTTGTAGTTCAGCTCTCAGTCCCAATCTCCATTCACCTTTAACCTGCAGGGTTGAGCAACAGAATGTCAGAGCGTGTACACTTTGCAATTGTGTTATCGCAGGAAGGTCTACCTCCTTGTTTGAGAAAGAGGTGAGTAAATAGTGCTGATGTTCTAACTGTCTTTTATCTACACTGACAGCTGAGAGAAGGGTGGCTGCAGTGCGGTGTGCATGCATGTGTGCATGCTTGTATGTCACTGCAGCACAGCAGGTGTTGTGGGACAACGGCTAAGGTCAACCTCGAGCGAGGAGGTTAGAGGGAGCTCAGAAATCTGCATGGAAAACGGTAAAGAGATCATCTGTGCAGCAGCAAAACACTGACCCGTGGACATCAAAAGCATAATTTTCTCAAATTATGCTTTGTCACTCTGTGCAAAACAGGCATACAGCCACCCATAAATTCCTAATTAACACATTACACAGTATTCAGGGGGGTTTAACCCATGTGAAGATAAATAAATCTATAAATAGTAATAATGAGCCATTTGCTCTGATGATTCTAAACTGAAACTCTGACAAATCAACCATGACAGGAAAAAAAGTCTTAGTGTTTGTCTGTCACAATCCCCATACGCTGACCTTGCTGTCAGATGACAGATTTGCCAAAGGCCTCATTTGCTCTTATACAGTGGCAATGCACAGTCATCCTCTCTGTTTGTCCTCACTTTTAGCTCTGCTCTTTGTTTGTCCATGACTTCGCAAAAGAGGTTGTTGGGAGTTAAAGTCTGGTTTCCTAAATATTGAAATTCTTAACTTAATTATGGGGATGTGTTTTATAATTTGTGCTAACAAGGGACCTTCTCATCCCCCCTCTAATCTCCTCCTGACTATTATCAGCCTGTAGTGAATGCATTTTACTGTTTGTGAAGTTTACCGTTTGAATACAAAACAATATAGATTAGTCACACTGAGTGACACAGAAAGTGGAACACCCAATACCTAAATCTATGGGGGAAAAAAACCCTTGTCGATAACTGCCTTAACAAAGAAAACAATATTAACTATGTCCTTTGAAGGAGCTGCATTACAGTTTGTAGAATGGCATCACAGCAGTGACGCCACCCTCTTTTATCAATAGCATCAACCTATTTTCACAACCTCATGATTTCCCCTACCATACATGTTTCTGGGTAATCATTTCATAAAATATCTTATCTGAAAGTCATGCTTTAGTAGTTGCTTTACAGTTAGCATTTTGGTAATCACACTGCTGCAATCTCAGTATACAGTATACAGTATATGCACTTTTTTTTGCTGCCCGCAGCAGCCAACGGGCTTTATCTTTGTAGGTCTATGGCTGTATGTGTCACAGCTAGACTCATTGCAGATCAACAAAGACAACAGTCACAAACACTCCCTGATCCCGTGGCTTTAATCCGGGCTCTCCACGCTGCTGTTATCTAGCCGACTGAGGCTGTGACACACTACTTACCCAATAATTACTATTAGCCGTGTCTGGATCCAGTGTCACATGTGCTTTTCCTCCCCTCAGGCTAAAGTGGCAACCCTTGACCTTTTAAAGAAAGGAAGAGAAAACACATGTGTTGAGCAGAGGAGCAGAGAGGTGAGGAGGCTTCAGAGGAGAGGACTGGTGATGGCTGTCTGACAGGTTGTGGAAACACACCCTTCCACTCCTTACTGTGACAGAAAAACAAACACAAAGCCACTAGACTCTCGCTGAGCTCTGCGCTAATGGACAGGTGATGACTTTTTCCTAACGAGACACTGGCCCAGTGGAAACAGGAGATGAGGAGTGACCAATAGGAGAGGCTGTAACAAACCTGACACTGTTTTGCTTTGGGTTTCTGGTCCACTGGGCCGAGTGAGTCACACACAGTTCTCCTGAGTATTGAACCACTTCAGTCTTCCTGTCTTATGACTTCCAGCGTCACGGCCTGATGGGAAAAACGCGGCCTCCATTAGCAGAACAACACTTGCTCTGCTTTATTAAAATGCGAATTCTTGCTTAAATGGCCTTGACAAGCATTTGTACGACAATATTTCTATGACATTTATGAAGGTCACAGC